TAGTTATGGGCGTTTTGGTAGTGCATTACACCGACCCTCCTGCGCTTTCGGAATGGCGTGTGCATCAAATTTTGCCAAAGACTCGCCAAAACGGCTACGGAAACCTATGAAATGCTAAAGCAAGCATTTGGGGAGTCCTCAATGGGTCGTGCACAAACTTTTGTGTGGCATTCACGTTTTAAAAATGGCCGAACCTCTGTCGATGATGACGAGCGTTCTGGCCGACCATCTTCGAGCACAACGCCCGAAACTGTTACGAAGATCGACGTCGTACCATCAACGATTTGTGCGACATTGTTGGGATAGGCTATGGGACCTGTTAGCTGATTCTAAAGGAAGAACTCCACATGCGACGCATCCTGTCAGAGGACTAGAAGCAGAATCGACTTCTCGTTTGTCAGGAGCTTAAAGATCTTGCAAGAACCGACCCCAACTTCCTTTTTAAGCTCCGTGTGACTTCTTCCTCTTCCCAAAGATGAAAATTCAGCTAAAGGGAAGGAGATTTGAGACGATAGAAGAGATTCAGGCAGAATCGCAGATGGTGCTTGACAGGCTGACAAAGAAAGATTTCCAGGGATGCTTCCAGGCTTTGCAGCGGCGCTGGGATCGTTGTGTTCACCCCCAGGGGAACTACTTCGAGGGTGATGGATGAATTTAATACCTGAGATAAGTGTACGGGTTTTTATAGGCGCAGTCTAGAAACTTTCCGATCGCACCTCGTATTAAGCGGCGAGCTTCTGTGAACACAGCAATGAACTTTAAGAGACGAAAGAACAGGAAATTTCTTGATCCTGTACTACGCACAAAAATACCGAGTTTGTAGATGGAGAACAATCTAACTATTCTCCTTATTAATCCAAAATACGAGTGTAACCTAATTAATAAAAGCGGTCATGTATCTGGAGGTAATTACTGACTGGCCTGGGTGGAAGGGGGAGAGTAGTTTTACCTGTCTATTATTCTTGTTACTTGTTTAGAGTCTGTAGTAAAGTCAGCAAGAAAGTCTATTTACACTTTGCAAATTGCTACTTGCAGCAAAGCAACCCAACTACGGAATACAAGGCAGAATTAGCTTCTACTTGTTCAGTGCTGCCTCAGAACTTCGTTCCGGGTCTAAGATTTCCGCTTGCAGAACTTTGGTTTTTAAGATAACCCTTCTTTAATTGTAAATCAACTTGCGTCTATTAGACCTAATGTAAATACTTTCAATATGATTTTTCACCCATTACAGATCGAATTTTAAACTCTACATGACGATTTGGATTAAAATGAATATTTTCGTTACTGGCAAAACGTAAATTGTACCGCTAATGTCACAAACAGGTAAATTTTTTAACATCAAATACGTATCAGGGAATGTGTCTCTGACCGATCCTTTCAAACTGCGTGTTGTGAGTCTAAGCAAGATATCACGTCAGTATCACAGAAAGAGTTACACTACACGGGGCGATGGATAACTGTCACAGACCAATTTGGTCATTATGCTGGCCATTATGTTTTCCACCTGAAGTCCCACAATTATTCTCCAGGTATCGATCCACGGTCCTCTAAATCGGAAACTCTATTAAGCAGATAAACTGCGCTCACACGATCTTCGGAACATGATTACAAGACCGCTTAATTACTGCAATTTCCAGCTTCTGTTGGTTCAGAGTATTCGATCAGAGAAGTTGGTTACTAATTTGCATAAACTGTGTACTGGACAGTCAAGGGTTAATCTCGTCTCAGCATCTCTTTAAGTCCTTTGCGTCTGATGACGGTAAGGTTGCGTGTCACTTCAAGAGTGGTCTAGCGGCGCGAACTGACCTCTTTCTTGGATGGCCTTTGACCTCTGTGTAGTAACAAGCCTCAAGGCATTTTTTAGACTGATTCACCGTTAACACTTTACACAGCACACAATAACCAAATTAAAGAGACGTTTGTGTAACACGACTGAAGTGAAATACAATCGCCTTGCTATAAGTTCTCTGTCTTTTTAACAGAAAATACTGTTGAGTTATAATTCCTGGCCACACAAATTTACCTGAGAAACTTGCACTACCTTGACAAGAAGTCTCAATTTATGTGACCAACTCCATGGAGTCCTACTTCAGAAGCTAATATACGTTCAGCCAGTCAAAACAGACGCCTTGAGTTGAATATAAAGTTTCCTTATTGTGTTCAGAAAAAACAGACGCCTTGAGTTGAATATAAAAAGTTTCCTTATTGTGTTCACATCAGCCAAAACCCTATTTCCCTATTACCCATAACATAATTTTTAATATTTTAATCTTCGCATTTTTATATATCAGCCGTGGAAGACAACACCCCAAGTGAGTAATCACACATTTAACCTCTGGCAGAAACCAAAGTTTTAGAGAATAAAACTGTTTTCTTACGGAATCTTCATTCAGTCATGTCCTTGTCTGACCCTTAAAACCCACTTCCAAACGAGCTATCATCTTCCAATCTACTTCTCGGTCTTTGAAGCAGATATATTCACGATAAAATTTATATACGTAAGTCTTGTCTACTTCATCCAAGATACATGTCCGGCCCATCATGTATTTTACTAATATAACAACAGGTGACGTATATAAAAAGACCTCGAAGTTTCCCGTCATCAAATATAACGGCATGTAATAAGGATGTTAGAAAAAACAAGGCGACGGAGAATAATTTGAGCCTAAGAGACGTGATGTAACAGGGTGGATAAAATTGCATGCGCCTAATAAGAAGGCTCATAACATATACTCCGAGAATACAATTTTGTATACCCTTTTCGCTCTAACGTGGAACATAGGGGCCGTCTCAAGGCCTCTACCTGTACATAGGACATCACAACACAGAGAGACGCGGACAACACACACGACAATGTTCAGGCGCACGAGATCCGGCAGAGTTTCAAACACCGTATTTTTCGAAAACAATCAAAAGCTTCGTTCAATAAAAGGTTTAATAATGACGTACTGCAATGATAATGAAAAAAACATATTAACTTCAGAACACCTAAAATGACTTCGGTTTCATGAAACTTGTTTTATTTCCTATTTTAATGCAAGCCCTCTGAACAAATTGAATTCGTTGAAAATTTCTGAACCCAATACACGTCTCTTTGATGATAGATTCCATTTCCCAAAACTCTGCTGCTTACAATGTACCTCCTTCTTTTATATAGGAGTTTCACCCGGACTTCACAGTCGAATCGCACTTTCTATTTATAATTGAACTGTGACCTCTTGAGTACTGTGGTGAGCTAGTTGATAGAAAAGTTCCCTCAGTACTGCCAACTTAAAAAAAACTTTTTCTCCCTTAGTAGCTGCGTCGTAAATATTCAACGTTCCATATGGAATACTCAGAGTAGTTCATTTCGTTGTGTTTCCCTTTTCAGTTCTGGGTACGTCAACGCGTTCGGGTTCTTTGTGTGTACGGGGCTAAGTAAAGTATCGAATCAAGTTCCCCCATCGTCGATTCAGAATATTAATCAGACTCTCTGCTACTTCTTAGCACAGGAGAATGGGTTGGCGTGTGTATACTAGAATAAATAATGTTCCAGAAGTGATATTATGATTCTTACGGAGACGTATGTGGGATATTACGCCGTGTACATTCATAGAAGTTGACCGATGTTTCGGAGGCGTTTACCGCCTCCATCATCAGGAAATCATACTGACACAGTATGTTACTTTATCCGTTAATACTTGCAGTACCATAACATTGCATATAACAAAACGCAACGAGAATAATAAATTCGCCAAGCAAACTGACGAATACAATAACAATATCGCATGGCTCTAAAATCCCTATTTTCTTACCCAGTCTCTAAATTAATTACTCCCCATATCTGCCAATGCCAATTAATTCTATAAACAGAAGTACTATACCAATCAAATTTACGATACTTTGTAAGTTACGATTAAAGTTTCGTCGGTAATTCAAAGTGCCACTAACTGAAACTATTCGCTTGCGGTAACTAACTACGTGTACGGAACACTAGCGATGAAGTTTGCACTACATCGGCGTACGCTTCGAGGACTAATCAAACTTTGGACGGTGCGATCGATTAATGTCAGAAGTGTTGATGTGGCCCGCGCTCTGCATTTAATGTGTGTTCGATGAGGAAACATGTTTGATTTCTGTAATGTACGGCACTAGATGCAAACACTGGACACAAATTGCGTTAGGCAGTTTTGTCCTTCCTTATGCTACTTTTGCACATCTAATTAGTAATGTCGTATCGGCTTTCAAATTAGACGGGAATTAAACTTCGTGCTGAACATTAATACATTTCGCTGCCGATATTATTTTGTTGCTGTTTTGTAAATCGCAATGAAAAAAGACAATTTTCATAGTAAATAAAACGCGAAAACATTAAATACAAAACCGACCACCTGAATCTAGACTCCCGCTAAATTCAGACTCCGTCAGCCCCACCATAACTATGGTCTGCGTTTCTTGCTACAATTTCGCCACCGTCAGAACCTAATTTCAATCATATTTCACGACGTACTCGCCCATTCAAGTGTGACGGACACTAACTATTGGCTATTACATTAGGAAAAGACTTTTCGAATCGCAGTCAATGCTAATATGTAGAAAGAAAAAATAATACGAAAGACGTATCGTCAAACTATTATTATGGTATGATTATAACACATTTTTATATATAAAAATTAAATACTTCATGATGCAGGGCGGAAATTGAAAACGCGATTTGGCCAGAAGCCTCAAACCTAAGATTCATTACCGTCTTTACAAACTCCAGCCACTGTATTCTATCTTTGGGTCAGACAAATCCAGCGCAAACCGCTGACCTGTTGAATGACTCTGCTCCTATTGAAGTACACCAGAGCACGAAGAAGCCAGTCGATTAGCATGGAAAAGGATAGAAGCGCAATAGACCTGAGCAGACTTACCAATTACGGTGAGGTTGACCTTCGAATTCCTTGTCTGCGCAATTTTGAAGTCTACCCGACAGCGATAGATGCCAGCGTCTTCCTTCCGAATGTTGTCAACACCAAGTTCTGCGGGTTGCCTGTCTGGCATGAAGTCGGCGCGATTTGAGAACACATTATCATCGGACCAACGCTCGGCTGCCCGGAATTGGTGTTCGCGTGCGTCCACACTGTAACACAGGGTTTTACATCAGAACGAGTCTCATCTGGGGTGCCTAAACATTAAAGTAACAAACTTACTCTGTAGATGATCATCATGTTTACAAGAGACCTCTAGTAGATTATGCACTCAGCCAATTAAATCTACCCCACTCTTAACACATGGCCCCCTAACATCCATATTAATATTATCATCCCTTCTAAAATAACCTGATTATAAATTAATCAAAAAATATGTAGGCATTCTCTTTTCAGATAAATTTTCACTGAACAGAGAGAACATAGGTACTTACTATACGATGCAGTATATCTCAAGTGCGCATTATTTAAATCAAATATCAGAGATTCAAACTTCACGTACCCAAAATGATCGAGACGGCGAACCCTATGTATTGATGAGAGGAAAATATTACAATAGATATTAGAGACTTGGGTTACAAACAGACTTTTCAGGGTGAAAGGTTTTACAAGTGCATCTTTCTCATTTCCTATTTCACACATATGATTCATTTCATACCCAGACAGTTACACTTTAAGAATCTGTTCTACGCATCATCCAGACACTGAGAATGTAGGAAATTTAAATAATCATGATCTTAGCTGCGTGATTATAAATGAAAAGCACCTTTTTCTAAATGGAACACATTCAACGACATCTGATAATTCTCGTGGACAGGGGAAGAAAAATTTATAAAACCTGTCATAACAGCCAGCTGAGACACTGTATGCCTCCTAATTATAAGTCCAGTGTTCATAAATCAATGCACTCGGTTTGAAATAGTACCAGCACAAAACGAAACCCATTATATGTCATTTTCCCAGAATTTAATAAAATATTTCTATTTCCCACAAAAGGATAGCAAAGCATGGTTTGTGGATCACTGGTCTAGACTACGAGAAGCAGACGTAACCAATGGTTCGTTTGTGACGAGGAGAAGTAGACTATAAAAAAGAGGTAATTACATATTCCCTTCTCCGATCTGATAACGTGGTTTCGAAAATAGACTAGATCAAAACTACTGGGTGAAAACCAATCAATCAATCAATAAGCCATGATCAACAAACAATATCCTCCAAATTAACGTCATTAATTTAGGATTCCAATAATAATTATATTGGTTCCCATTCAAACCCAACTGCAGACTCACAAAATTACCCACGATTTCGAGCACTGGACCAATATACAGATATATTTATGGTACAACAATTAATGGAATATCAAATCTAAAACTTCTTGACGATGGTGAAGAGTCAATTGAATAAAATTTTTCTTGGATATTATCCATCGTCTAGTAAATATAAAACGTAAAACGACGTTTCGGAGATGGGACTCTATCTCCGTCTTCAGGTTCCTACTCAGTTGGGCCCACTAGATAGAGCTAATCCCTAGGGATTATCTCTATCTAGTGGAATATATTTCCTGGGCTAAACAACTCAGGATAATCTGGATAAAAGGGGATGATGGATTAGGAGACGTGAAATCGCATACGACAGGGTTCAATCCTCGGTAGGAGAAGGGTTTTGTCTTTGATAGAACCAGTCCCTAAACCACAGTGACCGGGAAACTCTTCCCCGTAGGTAAAGTCAAACCACTCGTATACTCCTGTCAAGTCTAAAATTTGAGGTACTTTATTTGTATGTCAGTTATATGTCCCACAGCGGTACTAAACGTTTTCAGATTACGTGAAGTTAAAAAAGATAGATATGGTACTTTCACTGATAAAAGTTAAACACAACTGTCACTTCCCAGATACCAGCTAGAACTGCATGAATCACCGACAAGTGTTACAAAGTCACGTCTTCCCGATACGAGTCAAATATCGCCCCATAGAAACGATAAAGTGAACTTACGTCAAATATTGGGTTCAGGCCTAATCATAATCATTGTACTGCAACAGAATCTTCGAAATTTTATGTCAGCCTGGCAGGTTGTTAAGGAATTCCTTTTTTCCTATCACTCTCGGCAAGCCAATGTCCTGTGGTGCCAATACCTGCCTCACCTGATATATTCTGACAAATACCGACAAAACGTGACCAAACCGAACGAAACCTGTCCTCGCGCGACGAAGCGTGATCAACTTGACCAACCTTGAATCATGTTTCAGCGTGCTCAGTCGTGACATATAATGACCTTTAGTGACCTGGCGTGAACAATTGTAATCATCCGTGGCCGAGCGTTATCGAGCGTTGCACATCGTGACCGATCGTGATAGGTGGTGACCAATCGTGACTACCACATTTCTTGTTCGTCAGTGTCTACTTGTTTTTTTCCATCTGTTTAAAAAAAAACATAATTGAAAAGTCCGTACTTTTCATATGTATATACATATATGTAAGCCTATATAAATTTTTAGTCAAGAGAGTTACATAACTGGCTAAGAATATAAATAAGAAAGGGAAGGTATTGGATTAAAACCTACTTTTTGCCTCTTATAACTGCAGTAAATATAGTGGATGGAATACAAGTACTTATCAAATAGGTTTATTATATGTATATTATTATTATTATTATTATCAGTGTTCTGTCTGACGACAGGTCCATATGAACAGGATCCTTCCATCCTTTTCTCGGACTGGGACCTGTTCATATACGTTCTTGGCAGATGATCCAGAAGTGGTTTGCCATTGCCTTCTTCTGTGTGTGAATGGAGAAACCGGGGAAGCCCCCGGAGGAAAACTCCGTGTTGCCTAGACCACGGCCTCGCCCAACACAAGTTATAAATCCGGGCACCGCCGGGAATCGAACCCGAGACACCAGGATTACAAGGCCAGCGT